ACTGAATTAACTAAACATCGACTTCAGTCACCAGGTCTGACATCCGAATCCCCCGCAGAAACAGAAAGTCTTTGGGAGGACTACGGACAGAAATGCACGGACTGAGGGACAACAAACAAAAGAACAACGTGTTTCAGGAAAATATGATAAGGAAATTCGAAGTGTCACCCCAGTTAGATGCAATTAAAGTGCAGATTAGCGGTTACTTGCCACTGAGCACCTTGACTTATAATAAACCGAATAGTGAAATCGATGTTGAAACACTAACAAAGGTGGATCACTTGGTAAACTTTATCACTACTGAGGTAACTAAAAGGCTTGCACTAAAGCTTAACGCAATAGTTTACAATGTCCCTGACACGATAAAGTTGAATACAGTTCGAGAAGTGTTGCTTGGAATAACCAAAATGCACGATGTTCATGTAAATGTTCCAGACTAAAAAAGAGCCAACAAGACCATTGCTGTTCTATACGTTTTCAGTTTAAAGCACAGATAGAAGAATAAAGATTCATGCAAGTAGAATCTGTCCTTTCGAACAACACGAACTCTAAAGCAATAAAGGTGGTTTTTGATGCTTTTAAAGTGGCAGAAAGGCAGGTTCATAACCATGCTCACAAGCCTGGTAGTCAGAAAGCCTCGAATTTAGTACAGTATAATAAAACAGTGAATAGTTCTTCCACCATACTTAAGTTTAAGATTTTGCTTCACCCAAACCATGTAAAGTCAGCTATACAGAAAACCACATAGACGAAAGGAGAAACAGTTGAATGTAAAATATATAGTTTAAACTAGATCTAGACTTATCAGCAAAAAGACTCGAAATAAAATCTCGCACTTCGCGAAAGGTCACAGATATCTTACTGAGATTTGACAGAAACCTTAAATTCGCATCCCGCACCAACCCATTACCTAAAATATCGGCTACAAAGTATGTAACCAACAAACCAATGCAATCGGTGAACCGAACTCGTAAAGACGTATGTGAGAACTATAGTGATCCTAAATGACATGAAGAATCCTTCTGGAAGCAGTAGAAGTACGTATACTAAACAGCCTACAAACAGTAGCTTCATTAACGAAGTTCAATATATCGGGCTAAACCGCACTAGTAACACGACCACTAATAGACTCCGCAACATGACCCTATTGTTGAATGGTGAGAAGCGCCAATACCACACCACATATATGAGACCACCAAGATGAGATATGAAAAGGAAACTTGAACATCCGTATGGCACTAGCTTGCTAGGAAATACCCCTCAATCCAACATTTCATCAGTTATACGCGATGCGACTTGCAACAGAGCGCTGTCACGGGTAATGAATACAACACGAAGTCTAAGTCAACATGGATCGCAAAAACACTGTTTTTTATCCGTCATATTCCTATCGGCTGCAGTGCTGGCTAAAGAGCTGGAGATGTTGAGGCCCTTTACTCTGAATCGTAAACCTTAACCTCCTTGCAGCGACAATAGATATAGTCAAATATACACACAAATTCCAGGCGCCAACTACCCAAGTAGCGTTGACGGGTACGAATACACGACATGCGTAGTAAACACTTCTATCGGGATAACCAAACCCACGCACCTGTCATATACAAAACCAAAACTGACTACTATATATGAAACAGATACAAATACTGGAGACTACGTTTGCATTAAGTTAAACTGCGCATGAGGATATGATGTGCGCACTGGACACCATAAGTAAAAATATTTCCCCTTCTTCTAATAAAACTGATGCCATTTCCAATAACCATACGGTCGACTTACCGCTAAGATATTCTAGTAATTCTACAATTGCAAATGAACAAGGTGTAAATACATTGTGTAATGCAGTGTCATCAAGCTATTTTCAAACATGCGATACCAAGGTACCTCTCAATCTGTTTAGCTTTACACATTATTACTCCTCTCACTTGTACATCGTTCTCATAAATCCAAGGTCTATTCTTAGCAAACTGCAAGTATTGAGAGGAATCGCACTCTTATTTAAACCACCTGCAACAATCATTACTGAGTCTTGGTGTCACGCAAATATACCAGACGAAGTGATAATTATTGGTAAGTACACACTTTCAATGTGGTCTAAACAACAAGAAACGAAGTTTCTTGATGCATTTCCGAAACATTCTCACTGTATTCAAGCTAGGAAAAATTGTCCTCAACAAGACAAGTGACTCTCTATAGGTCACCATACACTAAAGGAGTGCTAAAGTACTAGTTGGGTGTGTCTATAAAGCACCTGGTGTATTTAGTAACCATGAGATTTCACTATTTGCAGCTCTAGAACATGCATCTTCTCCTCCATATGATCGCAAGATAATATGCGGTGACTTTGACCTACCTCACATTAAGTGGGATTCACTTACTGGTCCAACTAGGGATAACACTTTTTTGTAAACTGGATATTCTGGGATGAAAACAAATTGTTGCTACTCCAACAAGGTGATAATGTATTGTACCTTATATTCTGCCACAACATAAGCCTCCTTTTGACACATGTAGGCTCCAAATTCATAGGAAGTGATCACAAAACGGTATTGTGTGCATTACCACCACCTTCAACTAGTACTTTAGTTGATCCCTCCACTTCACAACAAACAACATATAGGGATTACAACAAGGCTGACTAGGATCTCATGTATTACTGATTAGGTGCCTTGACTAGGGATTATACTTCACCACTGCTTGCTTCAGAATAGCATTAAATACAATTTACTACAATCCCAACAAATCTTGACAAAGTTGTCTCATTGAAAGGTCTCAAAAAATGTCTCACGTCAATAAGTCATTTTTACCTTCCAGTGCTCCTAGAAAGTTAAGCAAACTCTCAACAAGATACTACCGACACCATAACTCTGATGCACTTCAGAAGACTCTTAACTCGCACAGCTATGACATGCATATGAAGAGTCAAGAGAGAAATGCGCTAGCTAGCTCATCTACAGTATATGATCTCTCAGCATTCCTTAAGAAGCAATCGAATTGCATAAGACATCACATTCCTCTTCTTATTCGTGACACCAAAGATTGCAACGATCCAATAGATATATGCGAAATATTCAGCGACATATTCAGAACCGACAACTCTTTCCTGTGATAACAATACGGTCTGCACCGTAAAAAGCTATTCTTCGCTCACAATAATGTCAGTAGGTGCCGTTGGATATGATAACACTGACTGACGCATTAAGACGCTAAAATGCTCCAGTAACGCTGGCACATTCGGAATACCGTCATACTTTTACTACGGTGGTCATCCATCCAAATTAACACAGGACCAGGCATAACTACGTTACGGTCCGATATCCCATTATTATGTTAGGATATTTTCTGTCTCTAAAATCTTCCACCTACTCTGATATCTGGAAAACACACCAATTATCCTATCGACATAAATCAGGTTCAAAAGCATTAGCCGGTAACTATAGATAAATAAATGTTACGCCTTTAGTGCCTAGAATTATGGAGAAAGTTATTGAGGAAAGCGTTCTTTAGTATACGATTAGTAACAACAATATCACATCCAGTCAACATCGGAATTGACCATTAGTTATTAGGATGGATTAAATTCCTCCCCAGTAAACGCACTCAAGTGGTGAAAGAAGACTCACTTCGAAACTAACGCCAATCCCCTCTGGCGTAGTTCAAACCAGTGTATTAGGTCCTCTTCTCCCTAATTTATACGTAACATTTGCAGCTAATTTAGACACCGTAAACCATTCTTGTTTTCTGATGACCTAAAAGTTGCATACGCATTCTTTTATGCCGATTCGTCCGACTTCCAATCATTAGTACAAAGGGAGCTGGACATAATATCCACATGCTCTAGTGCTTGAAAACTTCGGTTCCATAAAAGCAAATGTGGCTGGATATGTTTTGATGTTCCCTTGATAGACATCCAACTACATCTCCAGTCTATGAAATTACCTGTCCTTAAAAATGTGTGTGACCTTGGGCTAATATACTCAGGTGACCTCACATTTTCTGAACAGGTCGTACCACAGACTTGCAATGTAGGTTCTTACTGGGCTGCATAATCCGTAACTTCTACTTCAAAGACGTCATGTTACTGTCCTATAAAACTTGTGTACGGTCACTATTAGGATACTGTCCGTCAATGTTTAGTGTTAAACTCATCAGTGACAAACTAAAAATACACGGTGTCTGTAGGTATTTTACAGCTACGTTACCAGGATACAATTGCATACAGGACAACAATTCCAGATGTAGGACCCTAAATCTAGAACCAGTTCGGTTGAGACGGCTCAAAAACAGTCTGACACTTCCTTGGTGTCCTACACAAATTCAGTTTTAGTCAGCGGTGAGTTTCAGTTCAAAACAACAGTTGTTGCTATTTGAGCGACCATACTTAGTGTCGCAATGAACCCGTTTAGATACAGCTTGCGAGCAAATTTCTTCAACCTCACGTCCTCTCGAATTCGGAACTGTCTGTTGGAATGAAGGCCTCCAAATCTGTCTCTGAGTTAAGTCGGTGACTAACTGAGTTCTTAACACCTGGGGACTTATCCGGCTTGTGTTCCTCCATATATCCGGTCCCAGTCAACATTTTCCCGGGGCGAAACTCGGGGTCATGTTTCAGATTGTCATGAAAACACGGGGCAGAACTGGGGCAAAACACAGGATTGTGTAACATTTCCCTGAGTTTTTCCGGTTGTCCCCGAGAAATACTCCATTCCTTGTGTTTCCCCGCTAAAATGTTGACTGGGGTGCTCTTAACGTCTAGACGAGACTTCTACTACATCCGCTCCGAACTCTCATCTGTAACCCTAGACGGTTTCGTAGTTAAACACCTCCTTACTGAAGAACATAATGCCACATCTTCCCACAGTAATCAACGTAAAAACCAAGTCCTAAAATAGCAAAACATGAGAAATAAATTCTCGAGTGTTTAGTAGACACAGTATATCGAGTTAATGACATAGCAAGGGAAGTTAAGGTACTAAGAAGTATGTGTCTGGAAAACAACCTACTTCTTAGACTTCTGTCTTCTTTTCTCTGCTTGTTGTCCTTGTAGAAAAACCACTCAGCTTTGAAAGTTGTCTTGGTTACACATGGAATTAAATTGGCTCAAACACAAGTTTTCGACGTCAATCTGACGCACTTAAACAAATCTATTGCACTGCCGGAGTTGAAAAAAGTAGATGTTTAGCTTTCATTCCTAATATTCAATGAGATCACCAATTCCTGTTCATAAATCGTATAAGAATGAACAGAATCCATAGATGTGAACTCAGTAAAGAACAGCAAAATACAAACATACATACATATTCATGGACTGTCATTTCATCATTAATAATAAGCAAAATGTGACAGACATAACCGCGAAAGTATTCGATTCACGCAATCCTTGTAATCCTTAAGCGGAAACCTTAGTTTTTTATGTGAAGACAATACTTCCATTTGTCCATAGTGTCAATTTGTGCATGCATGTTGCCATCCAAGATTTTATTACTATGCAAGGCTGACGTTCCAGTAATTAAAGTTAATTGCTCCAAAACAATGTGTTGTTTACATACACCTAGAAAAATGGTGTGTCTGTATTTTCTGGAATAAATATTTAAAAAGGATTGATTGGACCTCTAGCCGGTCTCCAGATGCCTAAGGTGTTTGAAGTTTTTCTCAACGTAAATAAATAAATAATAGATGTCTTTATTCTCAGGTTATGAAGTTAACATGAGAGAAGCCAGTTTAAGGCCTCATAAAACTGACAACTGCAGGGAAACATAAAAGGTTTTAGCAGTATTAAATGATGTAGAGGGAGGACATTAGACTCCATCATGATACCGAGTATCTAAGTGTTATGAAAATAGCAGGAAAATATAACTTTACAGTACATACACACAATCCCGAGTTTATTTCATTTATGCTCACAATTCTTTTTTCACATCGAACGGCGCAATATTTGGTGTTTGCGTTGTGAGTAGTCGACATGATTGACCCATCTGCAAGACCAAGTGTTTCGTAAGATAAACGTCCACTTTAACAGTAATTCTTATGTTCGTAGATTTACTGACCAACAATAACTTACTTCAATGGTTTCAGGAATAAATTATCATCCGTACAGTCATTTAATCCAGGTGAATGTCTAAGTTCAAGCGTTTCTCACTCTTCAAGTGTTACCTTTCCAGAAATTCACATTTGTAATATTCAAAACATTTGTTGTAGTGCAAGTAATTAGAGAACGGAAGAATCGTCGTTCAACAGTGGTGAATACTACGCATGTGTAAAACTTCATAGACTTCACATTAAAGTATGCAACATTGTCAAGGAGACACACTCGCTGTTGATTGACTTCTATTAGGTGGATCGATACAAGACAAAGTACTAGAGAAATCTGTTGCATAGCATTATTATGGATGTGTTACCGTTAGGCAAAGTGATCTCTCGAGTTGGATTTTTTATCCATATTTCCGCTACATTTGTCACGGACCAGAAATCGGAGACCAGTTATTGTGCTTGGGGTTTCGTATGTGGTGGCATTTAGGGTACTGGTAGGGAGGTGAGTTGGTTGTGAAGCTGTTCAAGAAACAGGAAAATCGGGGCGAGCCAGTTGGATACCTCCAACATCAGTTTCTAGTATTAGGTGCGAAGTAGGATTTCCAGTAAGTTGATACTTTTTGATCAAACTAATGCTTAGGACTTTCTCGTCAGGCTGATACTGAAAAGAGAATAGAAAAGAAAATGCGTCTGAACAGTCTTCGGTGCCACTTTGTGTTCCCTCTGGGCTGGTTAACACACACGTCCTCAGAGTTCCCGGCCCAGTTATGTTTGTCAGAAAAGTTGAATAAAGTTTTCCCAAAAGTCACCTTCACCTTTATTCTATTTAAATAGATTTCCCTTTCAAACGCATTCTTAAATAGCCAAATCTATCTGATTCCTGTTTTGGTCATGAGTACTTACACGTTGGGTAAGCTACTGATTGAGTAAATACTGGAGCACATCAAGTTAAGTAGATCTAGTTTAGCGTGATGAAGTAACATCACACCCAGCCTCACCCGAATCTGTTTGAAGCACACCAGTGTATCCAATCCACATGCTCTTTAGGTGTGTTTGCAGGCATTTGATTCAGTCACAGTTCTGACGACCCGTGGCGGTCATTGACGCCGAAACCTCTGTGGAGACTGTATGAAATTGTGTATAAACCACCTCGATTAGAAACCCTATTTTCTTTTCATCGTTTTCTTTGCACATTCTGTACGTTCTTCCTAATACTTGTAAAAAAGGATGTTGTTTATCTATACACTTTTCGGTTGTGGTGGTATTTACAGCTTTTGCTGTTGCTGATCGTGGAAATATAGTGTGCTTCTAACCATTCCGACTTCTGCCTCCGCGACTATTGTCTATCGTGCATACCAACTGATTGTCTTGGGATCTTACAGGACCTCTCTTCCCACTTCCAAATATTTCTAAAGTATCCAAAACTGTGGCGGACAATACCGAAGAGATAACCCCTAGGTAACAAGTGGTTGTCTACAACACTGTCGATGCTATTTGCGTCATAACGTATAACTTTTCATATTTCTGCATCATAAAATCCATTCTTTTATAAATCATACGTAGCTTCCCAGTTTGGTTTACTTGACATTCTTTGGGTCCACTACACCTCGGACAGACTTTTTGATGTTGAATTATCAGTGCAATAGACGTTTTTCATTTGGCGAAATGAGACTGGTCTTGAACAGCCCAAAATGTTATTCCTGCCAGTATGTGACGTTAAAAAGTACGTCAATAACATCAAACCCTACTTAGGATATTTCTGTGGAGAGGCAACTTGAAGGATAGCAAATTGTTGTCACCATGCTCCAGGAAAGCGCTCACAGGCATGTCGCATAACACTATTCTTGGCAGTTAAAACTTGTTCGATATTTTTATTTAGCAACTGAATAGCCTGTCTTTTGGTTCCGTCCACGTTGTTTCGCGAATATGGGGTAACAGTTTATAAAAGTTCTTCGTCTATACCTCAGTGAATACATTTTTCAGAATTTTGTCTCCAGTATTTCACCTGGTGCCCAACAATGCCGTCCAAGACCTTTGAGTGAGGCAACTGCGGACTTTCGGGGCGTTAACCGGATGTTCGGGGCAATTGGCCTCTTTGTCAAACTAGGACATAAACATACTCTAATTGTACGATATCTTACCCTCCATTGAGTTGATTTTACAGATTATGCGTTCAGCGTATGCGATGACTGCAGTAAAGACTGACTATTCAACTCCTATAAGAAACTGGGATCGGTGGAAAATATGACATAATTAACGCGATGAGGGGACGCTTATGACAAATCTTGACAAGGCTAAATATTCAGGGATGAATAATTCTTAGTGGATGACCACGAAATCCTTCCACATGTGAACAGGAGAGAACAAGATACCAGCACAAAAAAATTGACCTAACGCCAATGACAGCTGTTGGAAATTTGCGTTAATGATAATGACAGCAATGTATATTGAACAAAGAATTATGCAAACACATGCCACTTTAATAGGCAATATCTGAATGTTAATTTTAATATCAAATATCCAATATTTATAGTGCGAGCGTAGAAAACTGGTGGTTTTTGATCTCTCGCATCTAGTTCTTAGGGCTTGGTTCGAGTTGTTCGGTTCACTCCTGCAGTCGACGAGGAAATCCCCTCTGCTTTCTTGCTTTTAGCTTCGATGGGGTTGATGTTTTGTGGGTTAGTAAGTTGTTATTCGTGGAGTGATTGGGGAGCTACGGGTTGCTGGGAGGTTTAGAGAACTGCCGTGACTCCTGTCTGTGTAGGTGCCTGAAGGAGAATAGCAAGGTAGTGGTAAAGGAATGAAGAGAGAGTAAAAAGAGAGGAAAAAATAATAATTCAGGGAAGGGAAGAGGGAAGGAGAAGAAAAGGAGGGGTGAAAAGAGAAATGGGAACGAAAGAAAAGTATTTGGGAATTGCGCGAATGGTCGCATGGGTTTGGTTCCTACAGAAGAATTAGTAGGTAATGTGGGTGTATTAAGGAGGGAGATAGGGAGTGGTAGTTAGGAGGGAGTTGGGGCTAGCGAGGTTGGTGACTATCTGGGTACGTCCGTGGTAGTCCATGCGAGGTGACATAACTGTCTAATCGTCTTGAATGAGTCGACTGAGGGAGCTATAACGATGTGTCTAGATAAGGCATTCCATAAAGCACATACTCTTAGGGAGAAAAAATTGGACCTGAGTATGGTGATGGCTCTCTGGTGTGCTAACTTAATGGGGTTTTCTCTTGAAGATCGGTGAGTTGTAGGCAAAATTGATTTGTTTGCGTGGTCTGTCTTAATGAAGCTGTAAAAGTTTAGGAAGAAACTTATCATCGTGCTATACAAGGTCTTCTGGAATAAGCAATTGTTTAGATATTGCTTGTCACAAATACTGGACAAGAGCGATACCGTTCAACAGTGGTGAAAATTAATGAGGGTATAACCACTTGGCACAAGGATCAATGGTGAGCCATCAAATCTGCAAGAGTATATTGCATATCGAATGTTGAGAACAAATGAATCCGGAGATATGTCTGTATTCAATAAATTTGAACTGTCTACAAGTGGCAAGCGAAACTGGGGTGGACGGCGGACACAACTTTGGGTCTGGTATTGTATGGTGTCATGCAAGGTATGGCAATTGTTCAGGCCTATAATGTATCAAGCGGAGTCATTTGAATAAGGAAAGCCAGGGATGCGGTTCCATCCAGTTGCTGTTGTCATATTATGGTGGTGAATATAAGGGGTCTCACCGTTCAATGGGGTCGGCGCGTCATATGGGGTCACCCTCGGTCAGCTCCGTTTTCAGGTGAATGACTGTCAGGGCCGAAAGAACTTGCATGTTTGGGTGCAAGTGGCACTTTATACCAACATTTTCGGTCCCTGTCTTAATTGGAGCTATGTACTTGGGAGAGGTTGTAGTCTGGAATGAATTGTCTAGCCCCTGGTGGTTCTGTATCCGTAGGTGGTAAAAGATGATGGTTCTCATGTGCTGAATGGGAGTTCAAAGTGTATCTCGGTGCTCAGCGTTTTGGTATGATCCGCCATCATAATCTGTATATCGACGGATAAAGAGAAACATGGAGGTACGAGAACTGAA